AGCTTGAGGGAAATTGTGGAAGCTTCCTGCAGCAACTTAAGTTACAGCAGCATAGGTAATTTTCCTGCCTAGGGTTTTATATTAGAATTGAAGAAATTATTTGAAGAAATTACCTGTCCTTGGAGAAACTGTGCATCCCTTTTTGAACTGGTCGGCAGGTTAAGATTAGGAGGCAAGAGAACTGACTTCTGCCTAAAATGGCAAGTGTGACCTTGGAGACAGTTGCTTGTACTAAGAATTGACCTTCTATACTGAGTCAGTGACCTGGGAGTGCAGCATGGACAGGTGTGGGATTTACACCCAGGAGTGTAAAGGTTAGCAATACTTAAGCCATGTAAAACTTGAGTGTTGTAAAAACATTCTAAACCCCACTTCATTGTAAGGTGGGTGGTCACTGGAGAGTGCAACTTCTCCACCTGTTCACACTGGAGAAGCTTTAACTGGTGGGTGCAGTTAGGGATACGGGGGGTCCTGGGAGGAGTGGGGATTGGAATACATTTGAAGAGAGTATGGCTGGTGGCCTGAGATTAAAGGAGAAGGGAGAGGGATGCGGAGGTCTCAAAAGATGCAGGAGTCAAGCGATTAAGAACTGAATTTAATGTATTTTGTTAAGCAAGCACATGCTCATACAGAGAATTGTAATTGTGGCAGCAATCTGCCACAACTAGGAGTGCTAAAGTTGATTGGCTGCTTTAAAAAATCATTTTAGAGCCATAGTTTTGGAAGTTACATAGTGGACATTCTAATATAAAGCTCTTCAGGGTGTGAGCTACTAAGGAAAGCTGGGCGATGTTTTCTTTCTGTGAATTTCAAACAGTTGGACAAATACATTCCAGAGGTTTTGTTGGGGTTTTTACCCTTTTTTTCCCTTTTTTTTTTTTTTCCTGTTGCCGAGGCATCTGATTGGCTTGTGGTGGAAACAAAGTGCTGGATGTGTGGGTCACTGATTTGACATGGCAATACAGATTTTATTTCCCTAAATTTATGGTGACAGCACATCATGTCTAGAGACAGAGGTCCTAAGTTCAGCTTTATTGCTATTCCACATTCTTGTCTTTAGAAATCAGAAATTATTTTCTGTTTCAAAAGTGTTGATAAGAACAAAAGAACCACAGGATGCTTTAGTAAATTATGATTAAGTTAGCATAGTCAGTAGTATCTTAATTTTTGAGTGGTTCTTGAATGATGATTTCTGTTTTGAAAGGTCTGGATTGTTGTCAGAAGAAACTGAAGTTGAAGGAGCAAGTTAAGGTGATACAGAAAATGGTGAGGCTCTTGGAAAACAAGTCACTGTGCACGAGCTTACACCGTCTGGATTGTTGTAACCAGCCCTATACTGTGGGTCACCTTAGTGTTAAATGCAGAGGATTGAATGAGGTTCATTCTTGGGATTAGTTTTCCACTCCTTTCTTTCCTGAGGGGCAAAAGGTGTGCCCACCACCTCAGCAAGCTGGAAAGTAACGTAGGAAAGAAATTTGGCATTCTGAGATTTTCAAGGTAAAAGGACAGCACTGAACCTTGCTGTTTTTCTCCTAGGTTTATTTTCTTCAGTCATGTTGGGCAAAGGGGGAGATAGAAAAAAATAGATCTGTTTCCTCTTTCCACCAATTGACTGATAGAGACATAATTTTTCTGACTTAAATTGAGAGTGACTGTAAGGAGAGTAGGAACGCTAAATAAGTTCACTGAAGTGGGGATAAAATCCTTCTAAGTAGGGACATATCAAACCCTTCCTAGCTCATAATTGCATAATAATTTAATTTTTTATTTCTAACGAAAGAAAGGTTGTGGTCCAAGACAGTGTGATGAGACTGAGTTGAAGTGAAGACAGTATTTTGTCCTAAGCTTGGTGTCTCACAACCTCATTTTCATACATTCATAGCATTGCTGTTACTTTGCTCCCTCACTGGGAGTGGAAGTAGCGACAGGTTTCTCCTCTGGAAGGTGAAAACAAGGCTGATTGTTCTTGCACAGTGTCAGTGTCAGTTTAGAGGCTGTTGGTGTGGATGTGTGGGCTGCCCTCCAGTGCTACAGTCAAGGTTCATAAGAATCCCAAAGGAATGAGCTTTCCAACATATAGTTCTTCTGTGCAATCTCCAGATTCAGATATTTTTCTCTTTTGGTTACATTTAGGTGTCAGTATTGCACTTCTCGTGTCACCTAAAATTTTGGTTTCCATGATATTGTAAACATCTGTTGTATTAGAAGCAGGACCATTAGTCTAGGCCTCAGGCACACTCAAAAGTGCCATTAGCACCAGGGTCCATTCATCAAATGTGAATTGGCAGATTAATTTTTCAAAGGATAAAATTCCATAATTGCATCTTTTTTTTCTTTATTTTTCTTTTATTTTTTAATGTGTTCTAAACCTGATCCTGCTCATGAAATGACATTAGTTTACCTGTTCTGTGTAATTTTTAAAACAATCTTTAGTGTATTTTCTTTATGCAACAGTTTTTGCTGTGATTAATTTTGAGGTTGGGTTTGTTTTAAGAAATATGTTGAAATATTCCAAGTGTCTTCAAATGAGAAATTATTTGTGATCTCAGTCTAGCCTCTAGTAAGTGAACTTATGTGTATCTGTTCTGGAAAACATAGCCACAGGAAAGACAAAGGGTTAAATAAGAATAAGGTCTGACCTCTAATGATTTCACAGCACTTGTAGAGATGCAAATGCAAACAAGGAAAATTGAGCTATTGTTCTTAATATTTCTCTCTTCTGTAAACAAAACCTTTGTTTTCAGATACTGTCTTTGTGTCAGATAGCATTTGTAAATACTTTAAATTTCAAATCTAATTCAAAACACATATTCATTTATGCTTGTATAGAGACAGTCAAAGCATTTTGTATTGTTAAGTATGGCATCTTATTTGTTTCCCAGAGAAGTTGTAGAATCTCCAGCCTTGAAAGTACTCAATCCACCTGGAGCTGGTGGGTTGGGTGAGCGCTTGGGTGAATGACCTCCAGTGGTCCCTGTCAGCCTCAGCCATTCTGCAATTTTGCAGATTTAGTGTCTTCAGTAT